ATAAGGGGAAAGTTTCCACAGTTTTTGCTGGCTCTAATATTCCAGGTATAACCAGCTTGAGTTGTGGCACCTGTACCAAGGTGTCTAGGAACTTGCCTGAACTGGCCTTACAGACTTCTAGTGCCCCTAAGAGTTTTGGCACACACTCACAGACACTGATACACAGTGCACTGTTACACAAGAGATCCCCAAACCTCACACAAACGGTTATTGCACAAGCACTTTCACACATGCTGACACACGTGTAAAATCCATTCAAGGACACAGACTTTGCGTGTAAACAAATGCACAAGCACATACACAGAGTGACAATGCAAGCAGCGCACACATCAGTTAACAGGAAGCGTAGTCACAGCCGCTGACATCTTTCACATTAGTTATGCGTAAATACATGTAAACAAATGACACCTCAAACAGAATTTAAATAGAGGACAAATCTCAGATTTGTTTTCTGCCCAGCTGATAGCATGTTTCAATTCTGCTCAGAGTGCTTTTGTAACAGGTATATGAGCGAAGTCTCTTCCCCCAATCTATCTGCATATAAGGTGCCTAATAACAGATGATAATGGAATTGATATCGTAATAAGTGTACATAATAAAGAGATTAATCTTCATGTATATGTGTTCTCTGTTTATTCCGCCTACTGTATTACACATCCTCTAAAAAACTGATTTACACTGTGCAAGGTTGGCTGTTTTTGTGAGTGTGTACAGCTCATGCACTTTAGGTTTAGTGATGCTTTTGTTACTGTTGTGGGCTGACTGATGGGACGTTGCTACATATTGGCTATAAAAGAAAAGCACTGCCTCCAAGTCTGAAAAATGAAACCAATGTAGTTTCTTAAACCTGCATTCTTCGTGATGGCCACCAGGAGGCGACTCCTCTGGTCAAACTGTACAGAGGTTTATGAGAAAATTGCCCCACTGCTCACTTGATTTATGCCCTCACTAAACACTTTCTTGATGATTCCACGTGTCAGTCAGTAGATTTAACTTTTATTTGATACATTGTGGCGCTCAATTACTAAATCATGATCATATTTAGAGTAAAATAATGACGCCGTGTTTCATGGATGCGATACGGTGTTTGTATTTTAAGAAACTGCGAATGAGTGGATGATGAATTTTGATTATTACTAAAAAGATTATTCTGTATTCTGAAGTTAAAATAACCCCTAAAATTAAATTAATTTATTAAGTAACACACACTGGCAAAGTCTAAGATATACTAACTTAGACTTTGTGTTTGTGTCTAGGTGTTTGATTCACTTGGTTACTTTGCAAACATGTTTTTAGGACTTTGTTTAGCGTGTATATCAGTATTCACCATCATTTTTTGTATAGAGTTGTAAAGCATTGTTTTCTTCAATTCTGTACTAAGAGAATACTACAATACCCATGAGCCTCTGCCACCAATATAATATAATATCAAATCTAAATTGAAACCAATTAAAGTGTCTGAAGCTTAGTAAACATACTAAACAACCTTTTACTGGATATTTCTTGCAAAAATGAGAGCTTTAGTCAGTGTCTGCATTTTAATTTTATACAGGCTTAGACTTTTTTTTTCCTAAAGGCAAAGATTCAATTGAATTTGCATCTTAATCTGATATGTTTTCTATGTGGAAAATTAGTATGCCTGATGATCAAGGTATTAATTAATAATGAATGAAATTACCTCTTTAAGCATGGCTTCTGAGGAAATAGCTAATGAGCTTGTTAGCTGTAGGGTATGAACTGTATTGTAGTACCAGGGATTTGGACATGTACAGTACCTGCATTAGAAGGAGACCGTATTGTGCAGGTTTCATAGGAAAAGTTTTGAAAAACTGAAGAATACCAGTGTATTACAAACCATGTGATCTGCAAATAAAACTGATGTCCTAGAACTGCTACACATGCTGAAATGCTTGTGAAAAGAGCCATGCTGCATTGTGGAGGCGGGCTAAGGAAGAAGAGGTGCACAGCAGGCGTGAGGGATGAAGAGACCGAGAGAGGGGACAGAAAATCGCTAACACTCAATCCCCTGCCTTCCTCTCCCGAGACCCGCATCACACCCTCAGCACTCTGGGCTCTCACCACCTGCCTGGGTGACATCCCCAATTTTTTTGTATCTGTAAATTTCCCTCCTTTGGTTTCTCACTTTGCCCTGTCCCTCTTTTCGCTCTTTGAGTTTTGCTGCTCTAATTCTATCAGTCACTCATTCTCTGTATGCCAGCGACTGAGAATCTATCCCAAACATGTGCCCTCTCATCTCTTCGTTCCCCTCTCTTCTCTCCCTCCCTGCTATCGTTTTATTGCTTCACAGCTTTCAGTCGTGTCTATTTCTATATCCTTGTGTTCTTTGTCGCCACACTCCTACATGACTTTCTTTCACTTCTGTCTTCTTCAAAGATTCCCTCTCTCTTCCTCTCTGTTTGTGTAGCCTCCCCGCTTTGTGTCTCTGCGTCATCTCCAGCCTGGCTGTCGTGCATAATGCTCCGCGTTCCCATCTTCCGTCACACGTTCGTGTCGAGCACAAGCAGGCAGCTGTATGAATTAAACATCTTAGACAGTGCACACACTGAGCCCCTTTGGAGTGTCGGAATGAGCACTGGTTCTGAGATAGGGGGCTCTGACCACACACCGTGAGTGTTTGCCAGTGTGTGTTACTTAGTGCTTGACACTGCATCCCACTGAGCAGTGAGGGTTATCGCATGTTTGGTTTTTTCATGATTTATGGTCAAAGGAAAGAAGGAACAAGAACCTTTCGACCCCCCCGCAGTCTTTTTCATGCATTCCCCGGCTCTCGGCACATCTTATATTTCTGCACTTGTTTGATTTTCTGCCTGTTTTGTTTCAAACTCTTTATTTCACTATTTTTTATTTTCTCACTTTCATTGTTGATATTACATTCACCTTTTTTCCTGTGTTTTTGATCTTTGCATTTTATCCTTCTGTTGTCTTTGATCCACACCTCACCCTCTCTTCCCCTAAACCCCTCCACAACAACCACCACCACCACCCCCTCTTTATCCTGTTCTCACTGATCCTGTCAATATGACGGATATAAAAACTTCCAAAGCGACTGATGGTTGCTCATTGCGGCGAGGATCAGCCTTGGATGTCAGCGGGACACGTGTACGGTGTCTCTGTGTGTATCATTATCTCTACACGTGTCAGTGTCTGCAAGGAAAGACTTCAGAGTGTTCTTCATGAGCATGTCATATCTTCAGAAAGCTGTGCATTCAGGTAAGTGGGCATCAGGAGAGTCTCTCCCTTCCCCACCTAAGTTAGCTAAGCCTTCTTATCATCCTGTGCTGTGTGTTGATTCGGTAGAGATCAAGCTGACATTTGGTCGACTCCCTTTTCAACAGTCTCATTTCATTGGATTTTATCTTGCAAGGTTTGCTACAGCCACACTGCAAAGACAAGATTCCCATTGGTTGCACTAATTGATTGTGGCAACATTTGATGGTTCCACATTAAAACCTTATTTAAAAAAGTGTCTTTCTAGTAAGGACGTGTGAATGATCCGTCCATTTTCTTCCTAGCAGGCTAAGCAGGGTATTCAAGACTTCCTTCTCCCCACCAATATTTTCCAACCATTCCTGTGGGATCCCAAGATAACATACTAGGCCAGATGGGATGTATAACCCCTCCAGAAAGTTTAACTTGGGGTCCAGCTGGGCATGCCTGGAAAACCTCTGAAAGAAGACACCCAGGAGGCAACCTGACAGACCCCTGTACCACCTGAATTAGCAGATGCTGTGTCCAAAGTTCCCTCCGGATATCAGTCACGCTGCAGAAGGAACTCGTATCGATTGTCTCAGTCATTCAGTTACCATCCGTAGCTGGTTTTTCGGGAGGGTTTGTATGGGTGATTTGCTTCCTGGCTGAGCTGCCATCACTCTTAAACAAGATCCCAAGATACTTACACTTTGTTGCATGGGGCAGGAAGTGTATCAGTGATAACAATATTAGCATAAAATGACCTGTCTCTTCAGACATATGCATATACAGATGGTATTTGCAACTTCTTGCATATTTGACCCAAATTCCATTCTAAATTTAGCTGTATCAGGTGTACATTTTACTATGTATACAAGTGTAACTGAATCAGTGATTTAGACACAATCAGGTTTGGAGTATTAATGTGTTAAGATCCTGTAGTTGGAAGGAATGTTTTAGATTAACTGTACCTAAAGCAAATAAAAAGGTGTTACGTTTTTGTATATTGTCCGTCTATGATGCAGAGTCAAGAGAGGCCTATTTATTCATCTTCCTAGCTATTGTACCGTCTTGTACAGCATCTCAGCCTCATGATTCATGTCTTTCTTCCTTCCCTGAATCGATGTGTTCAAACAAGAAATGGCTCCTAATAGAGGTCTACAGGGAAGTGTTTTCTGGTCAGTCTCCATGGTGGCACCACGGTGAAACAGTTGAAAAGGCAACAGCTAATACCTGCTGCCTGATGGCTTTTCCCAGCACCTCGCACAGCTGTGCGCACCCGCCGCTCAACATCAAGGAGAATCCAGGATTATTACCACTGTGTTTCTGTCTCAGGTGGTGTCAGTTATACCTCCGACGTGAATGGGGGGGAGACAGAATGCACATGTGGGGAATCTCTCCTCCCTGAGGATGTGTGTGTGAACCTCAGTGAATGTTTCTTGTTTTCTTCTTTTTTTTTTAAGTCTGTGAAAACATGTGTCAATGTGCTCCACAGGTTGTGAGAGAAAATAAATCCTCAACCTGAGCTCCCCACCAAACTCCCCTTCAGCCGAGATGGAACATGCCAGAGCCCCTACTGGGTAGCCAGAACCTGGGGGCCTCCAGCCAGCAGGCGCCACAGAGGATGGAGGGGTGCTGTGAGCTTGCTCGTTAAACAGCCCTGCGCCCGACCCTAATGATATCCGCCGGCACGTTTCCTGTTCCCAGCTTGCCCCCTCTCTCTCCCATCTATCCCCCTCTTTTTCGCTTTCGCTTTCCCTCCAGCCCTCCTCCCGCTCCAGCTCCTCTTTCTATTTCTGCGCCATCTGCCTCTCTCCTCCTCTCCCTCTGCTCTCCCCCTCTGTTTGGGTGAGAAAGTTGAACCCAGTGGGGAGAGAGGCTCTGTCACACTTGCCTTCTAATGAGCTGTTGCTCTCTGTGCCACCAGTTCTGACGGAGCCAAAATGGCCGACACATTTCACACTGCTGGGCCTTGATCTGTCGGGTTTCTGAGTGACTGGCTTGACAACTTCGCTGTGAAATGATACCATGTAGAGGGGGAAAGAAAAACAAAAAAGAACAAAAACACAGAACAGAAGAAATGATGTAACATGGTGCCTTTGGTGAGAAATCGTCTATTCCTGTTTTCACTGTGCAACAGAACTGGGACAGTAAAATGGGTGGTGGTGTGGGTATCCTAAGGGGTTTAAAGTGTAGGCTTGCTTGATGGCCTCATTGCTTTCATCCACTGTCTGTATGAGTCAATATTAATTTAAAGGCTTACTGTTCCACATTTTCCCCACCTTGGCAAGAAATATTTGATGTCAGGGTATTTCCAGTGTCCTGGTAAATGATTAACATCAGTGTCCTAAATTGCTCTCTTACCAGAATTGTTACTAAGAAAGAAGCAATTAAACATAACAAATATGACGGGGCATATTTGTATTCAGGCTAATGATTAGTAGAAATTGAAACACATATGGCCAGCTTTCTAAATCCAAGTAAAGCCACCACATGAGGAAACGTTTTATCCAGTTATTTATTTATTCGTGGTGTTTTCATGTTTTCCATTTTCTCTTATAGAATCGCATTTTATTTTCAGAGAAAATTGGATCCTTTTGCATATTTCTATACTAATATCATGACAGCTGCAGGTAATAGATAGATGTTTGGAACAAAACAAATTCTCCTCCTACCTTGTTGTGCAACCTTGGACGTGGGTTCTGGTCAACTGTGGATCCGATTAAAATAAAATCTCTAAATTCTCAGGCAGGTATATTCACAGTATTATTCTCATAAACGTTTTTATCTTGTTTTGGCACTCACCGATCCTAAACGGCACTAAATTTATGATTACTCTGTCAAGTTGGAAGTGCATATGCACTGAACATTTCTTGGAATTAGGCTTGCTGGCAGAGGCGCATGAGAGAACATTAACTAGCCTTTAGCTCTCAGCTTGCTCGTATAAAGTCCATATGACGTGGTGCTCTGTGATGTTCTAATATTGCAGGTAATAGTTAAGTATATTCAGTGCTAGCCTGTGTCCTGCCTCATGCATGCTGGTTCCATGCAGAAATTTTCCAGCAATGTGACTGCATGCAAGACGAACAATTTCCTGCTGTGCGCAGCATGTAAGATTATCCAACAGTGCTGAAATTTCTTGAAATTGTCAGAAGTTCATGTACGAAATGAAGCTCAGTTTCTCTGAGTCATAGCAGAAAGGGTCTCTTTGTCTTTGTGGCATTTTGTTGCCAAAGATGATAACCAAAAATATATTGTTATTAATTTCTAAAGCTGTTTTCAAGTCTGCACATCAGTAAATGTCACAATAATATGATTGTGACATTGTCCAAAAATTGCACTTTGGCACACAGTAGGAGAAATGAGTGAGGCTGCTGCCTGAGGAGAGCATGCAGGAGGGCCGGACACAGACACACAGTAGAGAATGTCTGCAGCGGCTGGTTATGTTTTATCTGTTTGTTTTACAGCTGGCAGAAAGCTAACTCAGAATGAGCACCTTGTTAAACCTTGATGGACCTCAAAAGAAGGAAAGCACATCAAGTTCCACTCTTATCTGAAGCTGCAGTGGGCACATTTTAACCAAACCTTACTTTAGTCTGGAGAAATGAACCTTAATATCTGTCGAGGGTTGGGATTTGGAATCAGCTGCATGGACCCAACCTCCTTTGTGTCAACAGTTTGGGCTGGTGGTGGTGTTGAGTAGCGGTTTTAGCAATATTTCCTTAATAGCTGTAATTCTTGGTTGAATGCCACAGCCTCTTGTTGGTGACCACGTGCATCCACATGTAACTTTTGAGCTACTTCCATTATACTGTTGCACCAAGCGATAGATTAACTGTCATTTAAACACTGTTCTCATGAACATGGCAGTGGGTTTGGTGAGCTTCAGTGCCCTCACCATTTACTGGCTCTTTAAGATGTGGTAGTATGACAAAGTTAGAGTTACAACATGAATTATGTCGACACTGAGCAGATTCTCAGGTAAATATTTCCAACATCTTGTAGAATCCATACCCACAAAGACTGAAGTAGTTTTGAAAGTAAAGCAGAGCGCTACCTAGCTTGAGTGTAGTGCTTGTGATTAAGTTCTTGGTTGCTGTAGTTTTTCCCCCACTGCTGTTTCAGACAGTTTTAACTCTCAGAGATGCCACAGTTTGTTTGAGTTTGGGAACTGAAGAGGAGTTTAGACCCAGAAATGGCCAATAATGTCAAACTTTAGAGGTGGATATCATTCTGAGTTCTTCAAGACACTGTCCACCTGGCATGAAGACAACCGAAGAACCTTTATAACGCAATATAGCATAATTATCACTTTAATATGTTTTTTTTAATATAGTACAGTAACTTGTTGCATTGCTAGGTTACAAGAAATGCAATGTGATTACATTAATGCCTTTGGGAAAGCATTACACCCGACACTGGTTATATATATATCATTGTTTGCAATGTGTTAGGTGTGCCAAACTAGAAGACACTCATATAGATTTGTTAAAGCAAAAACAAACAACGATTGTGATGTTTTGTATTAAGATTATGCCCCCTACATGGGCTTTGTGATGCAACAAGACCAGTGGTTTCCTTATGGCAACAATTTAAAAGCTACCGGATTGGTTGTTATCAGGCTGTAATAGCAACATATCAGTAAGCACTGAAAAAACAGTAGAATTATAATGAAGGTTCTGCCTAGCTAGCTTATATCTCTATAAGCTGCATTTTCTTTGCAAAGGCATACAGATTAACAATATGTATTATTATTATTATTATTATTATTATTTGCAATAACCCACACAATGCATCTTTCTATATATACAGATGTTATACAGTATGCATGTATATTTGCAGTGCTTTTGTTATGCAGTGTTTTTGGAAATTCAATTTCGGCAAAACCCTTGCACTGACTGATCTGATGTTGCACTCAGCATATGAGTCGGTGAGTCAGAATTGAGCAGAGCTGCAGGGACTGGGTGTATTTTGCATATGCAATCGTAGTGTTGTCTTTCTTGCCTGCATGTATGGGTGAAGTAGGAGTATCTGTTTTCCACCATATGTGCATTTTTGATATTGTGTGCGTGCGTGCATAGGTTGGCACAAGATATGCATGGATGTGTGTTTCGGTATATTCTTGTGAGCACTTCCAGGCACAGATTGGAACAAAGTGACACAAGCTAAAGGAAAAAATGACATCCCGTCCACACCTCAGACGATGACCTCGCACCAAACAAACATACTGAGCTTTCTTCCTCCCATCCACAATAACCCGTGATGACAAGTATTCTTCCATTTCTAAGAACCAGCACTGTGGAGCATTTTCAGCTGATTGGCCTTCCCGAGATTTGCATAATGTGTAGGCCGAAATAGCTCTGAACAATAACCATTTCAATATGAATGGGCAGTTTAAGATCTATGGCAACAAAACAGTGAATAAACAACAATTTGGGGAACAAAAGTCACACTCAGCTCTTATCCTTCAGCTACAGCTCAATGTCTTGATTGTCTCGCTGGCCTACATTCTGTCTCGAACATTACACTCTCGCATTTATCTCCAAGTCAGCCTCTTAATCTCAGCTATTATGATCTCGTATTACCGTAATAAATAGAGCGCCATAATTAAAAATGACATCACTTCATGTCCCAGCAGCAATTGCCCCGCCTCTTTTTCCTTAAGACGTGTTGAGTGAGGGGACTGATTTATTGATTGAGGCTATGTGACTGTGCTGGTGTACTCAGGATTATGTATCGGCAGCGTGATGTTGTTGACACTCCTGTCGCCTTTACGGCTCCAACATGCCAAGATTTGGATGTTTGCCCATCCCGAGTGCGTCTAAATGTGTGTGTTGAGGAGGGGGAAGTGGGTGAGTTTGAGAGGTCTGTGGAAGAGGTTTTGAGTGTGAGGATTGTGTATGTGTGTGTGTGTAAGTCATTGAGGGCTGGGAGTGGTGGGCCAGCTGGCAGCCTCTGGCTCCACTGTGCCCTGTGGGTATCCGGCTTGGCACAGATTCTCTGTACTGCGACAGCTGGGACCTGGGTGCCAACCAAGTTAGAACTTCCAGACACACACATGTATAAACACGGGCACGTAGGATTGGACAGAAAAAGTAAAAGAGAGACAGTTTATATGTCACTGTGTTTAATCTGAGTAGTTTTGTGTTGTGTTAGATTAGGCCTGTAGTAACTCTGTTGGCCTACACCAATAGAGTTAAAGGGTCAGATTACCCAAATATGTATATTTTTAGAGCTATCGTAATTTCACTCACCCCTGTTTTGATCCTCTGTTCATTACAAATAAAACAATGTGAGTACTTAATCTGGCAAGGTGAAATGAAAGGGTGTGATGATGAGGCTGTAGCACGTCTGACTTTAATGCAGGATGGCAGACGAAGATGCAATCAGCGCTTGCTTTTTCATTATCTTCATCCAAGTGTCTTAATTGCTTAATCTTAAAGCAGCATTAAGCCCTAGACTACTGAGCTCTCTCTTTTAGACTCTTGCTGCCCTGTAGCTAACAACGGGAGGAGAAAGTCTATGAGTCACCTCGCAAACAAGTTTGGTGATTTACCAATTTGTAGAGGCCAAAAAAATAGCTTAAAGAGCAGTCAATTTTAAATTACCATAGTGAAAAGTAGGACTATGGATGTTTGTGTTTCTCTTTATGTGCTGGATATGGCATTGTTCTGAGAAATCCACTTAGTACTGGAAATAGTCACGATATGTGATCTATTTGTTTACCTAGGTGGACACAAACTGTTCACTGCAGTGAAGAGGAATAAAAGCCAGTTGAAGCAAGACAGTAACAATGAAGACAAAAGGAAAAGACGTTATGAAGGTGGATGAGTTTGAAGATCAGGGATCGCCCATCAAAAGCAGCTGATATTGCACAGTAGGTGAAGAAGAGTACAGGCAGGATGAGGGACAGGACGTTTTACAAGATGACAAAAAGACAAGTCACAGAGTCGAAGATGCTCAGATTTTCTTGTGAGTGACCAGGGTGGACACGATTCATACCTAATCTTCTCATGTCACCTCCATTTCTGTTAACCATCAAAATGCAATTCACTCCTTGGTACTGTACTTCTAATTTATGCAAAGTTTGCCCATAAATTAGAAAAATGATTTACATATAGAATATATAGAAGGCAACTTGCGGGGAGCTGTAGCCTTGATCCAATCCACCTTTACATAGAGTGGACCGAGACAGACTCAGTATGAGATTCTTCACAGGCTGCCTATCACTCCTGTTGTTTTGCACAAGATAAATCGCTCCCTTTCTCCACCGTGCATTAAGTGCCATTCTGATAGGGGAACATATTTTCATTCCTTCTGGGAGTGAAAATTAATTTTCAGGTTCTGGACATTTGTCTCAGAGGAACTTAGTGGAATACTTTAAATAAAAATGTAAAAAGGTCCTGGTGTTTTCCTCTCAGGCCTGCGCTCCAGAGAGTTCCACCTACCTGCACCACATTACAGACCGCTGGAGAAGCTCCTTGTTATTGCCAGAAAGTGTAACTTACACAACTGGATCAAAGTTTCCCCACCTTTGGTACTGGGAAAATTGTTAATATCCTCCTGCATGAAAGATTGTATGCTACTATAAAAGGAAATTATGAGCCATTCCTGAGGGTCTGGTTACTCTTATTAAACTATCTATCCTTGGACTTAAAAAATGTGCTTCTGAAAGGAAACAGTTTTGCTGAGTGGAAGTCCTCTGCCCACTCTGTAAAACACATTATTATCGCTGTTTATTGGATACCCTAAAAAGACATATAGATAGTAGACTGAGATGATGCATTTTTCCCCTGTTTTATTTGATTAATTATTATTATTACTATAGCATTTATTTGTTATTACTGCTTACTCTAACCCTTTGTGGTTTTGTTGACTGTGTAGTAGGACTGTCG